GCTCACTTTGTAGCCCAGGCTGGTCTCAAACTCACAACAATCCTCCTGCCTCAGCTTCCGAAGTGCTGGGATTACAGGCATGCGCCACCACACCCAGCCAGTTTTCTAATAAGAACAGACTAATCTGTTTTTTCTGGGAAGTACGTAAGAGGAAAGTTTTATTATACGTTAAATGGTATCATACAATGACGTGGATTTTTTTTCCAGTACTGAGGATTGAACCCAGGGTCTATGCACTGAGCTATGCTCTCTAGCCTTTTATTTTTTTATTTTCAGATAGGGTGTCACTAAGTTGACAAGGCTGGGCTCAAAGTTGCCATCCTCCTGGCTCAGTCTCCCAGACTGCTGGGATTGCAGGTATGTGCCACCATACTCAACTAGAAATTATTTTTTTAGAAAGGCTGTTTACAACTGGGTCAAAACATAGTATAATCATGAATAATGATCTATAAAGAAAATATAAGACCAGTTACTAAAATTTAAAGCTCTTCAAATATGCAATTAATTTCAGAGCTGATTGCTAGACTTTGAGTTTTAGCTATTAAAGACATTTCTGTTCTCATTTTTCTGTAGCTAACTTAAATAATCAAAAACTAGAGACAAAAACATTTATCTTTGATTAAATGAGGGAGCATTCCATGATGCCAAGCCACAAACACATGCATGTAGGTGCCTGTGTGTGCCAAGAGGCATGCGTGCTACTGCAGACCATATGTAGGCCAGGTAACCTACAAAGCTCTTTAGCAACTGGCATGGTCGAGTTGTGTATATTTTTAAAGCTGTACCATTTTAATGACAGAAAACTAAACATCATTCAATTTTTTTGTGTCTTTTTGTTGTTGTTTTGAGACAGTCTCCTTTGCAGTTCAGGCTGGCCTTAGACTCACTATGTAGTCCAGGCTGGTCTCAAACATGTGATGAGGAAAGTGGGCTGTGATTGTAGAGTCAGCTGACACCAGAGCGCCAAGAGGCAGGCAATTGCTACCATATCAGGAAGAGGCAGCAAATGCTCCTTAGCTGCCATCTTTGCCAACCACATGCTTTATTCCTTCAGTACACACCCTAACTCACATGTCCTGTGTGCCTCTGCCATGACTTAGAAGGCATTAGGACAACCTGGAGCCGAGCAATCAACATAAACTAGATTACAGCCACAGAATGGAGTGCTATTATTAAAGACGAGGTATAAAACTGATTAAATAGGTCCAAGAAATGGTACATGAAGAAAGGACTGTCTAATCAACTCTCACTTGTATGTATACAGGGCTGCATGTGTGTTTGTGTGGATCTGGGATAGGGCTCTTAGGGGGAACCAAGAGACAGGGCAGATCAAGGAAAGAGAAAATGTGCACAAAATGGACCCCACAACACAGCTGGAGTATTTCACCAAGCTTATGTGTATCTTACTAAAATCTTTAAAATATTTACATAAAAGGAATCTCTCTTATGCTTTCTAAGTTAAGAAATTATTACTATAGTGTTTCAATCATTTCTAAAGTACCAGGTTAGTATAAGTATGCCACTTTATATTGACAATAACATTACATGTTCAAAATCTGAATGGTGGCTGGGCATGACTATCATGGTGGCTGGTGCACACCTATAATACCTGCACTTGGGAGGCTGAAGCAGGAGGGTCATCACACGTTTGAGACCAGCCTGGACTACATAGTGAGTCCAAGGCCAGCCTAAACAGCAAAGGAGACTGTCTCAAAACAACAACAAAAAGACACAAAAAAACTGAATGATATTTAGTTTTCTGTCATTAAAATGGTACAGCTTTAAAAATTTACATGAGGGCTGGGGATATAGCTCAGCGGCACAGCACCTGCCTAGCAAGTGCAAGGTCCTGAGTTCAATTTCCGGTACCAAAAAAAAAAAAAAACTACATGAATTTTACTTCATGTTTTAAGTGTCTTCCTGGACCAAAGGACAAAATCTATAGCTCTCTATAACCAATCTGCTCTCTACAAGCAGCTGAAAAGGAAAACAAAATTAAAAACAAACAAAGCAACCCAAGATGTCTCTCATCCTGCCATACTAGTTTAACACTAATAATGGAATTATCAGAAATAACGATCACTACTTTCAAAATGCAATAAAGACCACACTTCCCATACATGTGCTGTGTAGCTAATAACAGTGTTACCACCAACTGAATGCCATCTACTGTATCCCTGATGATAATCACTATTTCTGTAATGACTACACATTTTTTTCCTTCAGCATGGATGAGTAATCCATCACACTATTGCAGGTCTCATCAAAAACCCAGGCTGCCCCAGTGACTTACCAAATCTGCAACTTTAGCCAGATCAATCATCATGTTGATGTCACACCCACATTCGATGAAGGTAAGCCTGCGCTTTTTACCTGTAAGTAGAAAGACAAAAACTACTTTCAAAAAATCCTGAGAAGACTCTATTTGTTAATGATATCATTTTTTTAACTGCATCCAATAAAATACCATATAAATTTATGGGAATACATGAAAGATTCTTTTACACAAGAAAACTAGTAAAATAAACTTCATGTTGGTTTTCTTGCTATGTTTTAACTCTAAAATAATACCAAGTAGCCGGGCATGGTGGCGCCCACCTATAATCCCAGCACTCAGGAGGCTGAGGCAAGAGGATCGTTATGAGTTTGCGACCAGCCTGAACTACACAGTGAACTCAAGGCCAGCCTGAACTGTGTAGTGAGACTCTACCTCAAAAAGACAAAGTAAAATAAAATAAAATAAAATAGAATAAAATAAAATAAAACCAAGTGTACCCAGGCAAATAAACGTGCTCACATAGGTAAAATTCTGATGACAGAGTTCATGACTATGAGCCTGCCTTTATCAAATATTTTCACACTCAGTATAACTAAAGAATCCTCAAACATAACACAACAGCTCCTGGAACAGTAATCATTTCTAAATTAAGGCAAAAAGTAAATGGTCAAAAAGTTAAGGATGCTTTAAAGATGAAGAAAAACTTCACCAGGTGTGGTAGCGGACACCTGTGATTCCACTTATGCAGGAAGCTGAAGCAGGATCACAAGTTAGACACACCCTGGGCAACTTAATAAGACCCTATCTTAAATAAAAAAGTTGGGAGTGTAGCTCAGTGGGAGAACACTTACCTAGTATGTGTAAGACTCTGGATTTAACCCCCACTACTGCCAAAGGAAAAAAAAAAAAGCTTCTATCTGACTACACTATTGTTATAACAATACATTTCAGATTTCATCATTGCCATTTTGGTAATTATTTGATTTTTCCCTCCAGCTTTTAAAGATCACCATTACCTAAAGCCGACAAATTCTCAAAGAAAAAGAAAGCTTCTTCTCATCTCCACAAGAATGCGGATTCAAGATGGCAAACAACTGTGGATGGTGCATATCCTTACTGTTAAATGGATATGCTCCCAGGAACTAGGCCTGTGAACAAGGAGCACCCCTGACCAAGTCAATGGAGCAGTCAAGTAAGGTGTATATTCACACTACTGTTCTTAGGAACTGAACCTTTTCTGATGCTACAGTCAATGCAGAAGCAGAAAAGTGACAATATTATGTGACAATATTATTTTAACCTTTTCTACTCATGAAAACAACAAACAAAGACATCCACGCCCCTCAAATGACACCTGCCACATCACTTCTGAGGCAGCAACCCCTACCTGACACGATAGTCACAGGGCCTCTGATTTCAGTCAACTTCTGCCTGGTGAAGTTCCGAATGAGGCACTGTATTAAAGTGCTCTTCCCAACTTTTGGAGGCCCCATTACCACTATCACTATTGGTGGGGGCTCTAGGGGAGTTCGGTCAACCACTGGAATGTGATGCTTTTTTGTCTTTAAATCCTGAGTCCTATTTGTAAAAAAAAAAAAAAGGAAATTCACTTTTATTTTACAAAAGGAATAAAAGGTCTCAACTTTAAAAGCAGATTTTATAGAAATCAGGTAATACATGAATACAATGAACTTATTAACCTCTGGCTCCAATCCAAACAACTGCTCTTCAATAAAGGTACAACAAAGTATACAAGTATATAGAGTTGAAAATTCAAAACATCCTAAATTTGATTGTTTTATGAGTTGATTTTAACAGTTTAAAACAAAATAAGAAACACTGAGGCAGTGTATCATAACAAATCAAAGCACAGGCTTTGGAGATAAATTTGGCCATTCCACTTACTGGTTATATTACTGGGGGTAAATGATTCTGAGCCTCAGATTTCTTATCCATAAAATTAGGGCAAGATGCTAGATGTTGTGGTACAAACCTATAATCCAAGAACTAAGGTAGGAGGCCAGCCTGGACTACCTAGTGAGTTCAAGGCCAGCCTGAACTGCATAGCAATATTCTGTCTCAAAAAAAAAAAAAAAAAAGAAAAAAAGAAAAGTAATTCTTTCTCTCTTAAGCCTGTTGGAAGAATTTAATTCAATAATATTTAAAGTATACTGGTGGATATATAACAAGGACTCCCTAAATAAAGTGGTATCTTTATTATTATAAATTTTAATTTTAGTATTTCAAACTATAACTAAAATTATATGATTTTTTAAAAAACACACATCACCACAGAGATTATGTTTGAAGTTTAGAAGCAAATTCCATAAATTCTATAAATTATTATCCCTTGTGCAAAAAAAAGTGCCAACCTGTTAGGAGATGCTAGAGTAAAGGCAGCATTTATGGAAAGGCTTCTCATATTTTGGTAAAATCCATAAGGCATGTATATGTCCTCAGAGCTGGATTAGACTCATGAAGCCAAATGTCATCTGTGAGACTCCTACCATTTAAGGAATACATAAAGAACCACCAGATCCCAGCTATACACACCTGTGAAACGACCGTGCCATACGCACAGCTGACTGGACTGCAAAAGCTTTGGGGTTTCTCTTCCGGGCATCTTCTTCGTCCCCAAGCTGAAGATCCCGCAGATGCCGTTTCTTTTTCTTCTCAGCTTTGGGCCCACTGTGTTTCTTTCTGTGTTTCTTCTGATCCTTCGTCTCCATAGTGGCGACTTGTCAACTCACAAGTAACTCGAACTAACATGGAAAGAGATGGGAAGGTGAGGGAAGTATTTTACAAATGGGGCAACACCAGAAAAAAACAGTAAATTTTATTCATTTCTTTAGTTAAAGGTGATTTATCTGTTCACCCAATAGAAGTAGAAACTGCTTAATACCATGCTCAATTTTACTTCTCTCTGCTGTATCATACAGTTACATGAGTTCTCTGTGCTAAGGCTCCCTTTTAAACTTCAGTTACTCTTTGTTCATCCTAACTGTCAACATCAGCAGGACGTGGGTGTGTGACGATGGAATATTTTCTACCTGTGCTTTTCTGTATAATAGCTATTAGTCACATGCGGTTACTGAGAATCTCAAGTGCACCTAAGGAAACTGAAAAAATGAATTTTTCATTTTAGTTAATTTTAAATTTAAATAGCAACAACAGCTAGTGGCTAACATACTGAACAGCACAGGTCTATGAAGTGGTTTCCTAACTTCAATTAAAACTTTAGTGAAAAGTCGAAAGCATATGAAAGACCGTCTAGCCTCCTATGCTGGCCAGACGCGGGGAGGGACACCCGTCTCTCGCGCGCTGGGGGCATCAGCGACCCGGGGTGCAGAGCCGAGAACCACCCTGCCGACTCGACAACGACCCCTCCGCCCCTCCCCCGCCGTCGGAGAAGCGTCTGCCCGGCAGAGGCTCTCTGGATCCGGGACCGACCAGAACTCACCACGCGCAGTCTCACGATCTACTCACGCCGTCACCTCAGCCGCTCAGCGACAGTTACTCAGTTGACAACAGTTATTGCTCAGGTCCGCATGGAGACCGCCGGAAACGGAAATTACCACCACCAGCCAAGTCGCCGGAGGGAAACGAGAGACTGAAGAAAGAGGCCCGTGGAGGGACGATTTTCAGGGGAGGGCCGGAAGTAGGTTCGTGATTGGCTGCGATCACGTTTAGGCCTCGCCCGCGCAGTTCTGCCTTCCTTGCAATATGGAGTCCAGCCCACAGTTCTGTGGCTGCGCCCCGGCGCCCTCCTGTCCTGGCTCCCTGCTGCGCGTCCCCCGACACTAGTTGTCAGCCCATGGCCTGGCTCAGACCTCAGAAGCGGTGAAGACTGCGCTCTAGGCCCCACGCAGAGGGGCCACTGCGTGCACGCCCCGAACCAGCGGCCGCCTGTCCATCTGGCCACTGCTCAGGTTGCCGCGCAGCCAGCCAGCCTGTTGCCAGCATCCGATCATACAGCACTCAGCTGCTGTATTTTTTTTCATGTCAAACTCCTGTTTCCTACACTTCTATGCTGTTGCATGTTTGCTTTCCTCCCCTGTGCAGCAAAATTTCATAAAAGAACTGCCAATGTAGTCTGGTTCCCCAGGGGAATGTTATTTTTCACTACTGGCGATGGAACTCACCAAATGTTCTGCCACTGAGCTACATCCTCATCCCCTTTTATTTTCAGACAGGATCTAAGTTGCCCACGTTAGGCTCAAACTCGCTCAGCCTCAGTAGCTGCAGTTACAGGCATGCTGCTACTATGCCTGATGTCCAGAGGGATTTTTAAAGGAAATGTGACTGTTCTGTGTCATGCAGGGTGGTCGGTACATGCTTGACCCCATCAAGCCCACAGAACCGTACATCATGAAGAATGGACCTCAGTATACGCAAAATCTAAAGATCAGCCAAGATGTCTTAGAATTGGGATGGAAGGATGTGAGAAAGACCCAATTGGACTCTTAACTGTAGGGCATGATCCCGCTGAAGGGGCAGATGGAAAAGGAACTGACTTTAGCTTTGGAAAAGGGTATTTTGACTAAAAATTGAAAGATTAAAGACAGAAGGAACTGTGCGTAAACACTACGCTCATTGATGAATGCTTCTCAGGCAGTGCATGCTAACATTCAGAAGCAGTGGGCTTTGTCCCAAAGTGAGCATGTGGGCACAGGTTGGCAAAAGCCAGAGTTCTCCCTGTTGGAGAGGAGCCACAGGTCAGCAAGGGGGCGGGACCGGAGGAGATACTGGTGCAGGTGGAGTGTAGATCCTTGAGTGTGTTGTGCATCCTAGTCCTGCCCACCTAGAGCCCTGGGTTGCTGAGCACCCAGCTCCCAGATTCTGGTTTCTTGTACCATTCTCTGGGATGTGAAACAGGGCTCCTTGGAGAAATGGCTGCTTTAGGGCTGGGGCAGGAAATGTGTAAGAAGCTGGGAGTATCTCTGGTGCTAGAGAGTCAGAAAATGCTGAAAACCAAAGTCTGTTGTGAAAGTTTGTTTTGGGAGTCAACTTGACTTGCTTAGGAGATGCCCAGGGACCTGGCAAAACATTATTCAGTGTATGTTTATAGTACAGTTAGAAATGAAAGAGTGGGTCCAGGAAGGTGTCTGGAAGAAGGTGGGATTCATGGGGGTTAGGAGGAGGGACTGTTGGGCAAGGTGAGGGTCCCCATGGTCTCTAAAAGGGAGAAGGGCTAAGGGGCACTATAAGAGGGCACTTTGCCCATAGGTAGGAGCTCTGGGCAGCATTTTGGGGAGCTGGTGGGGCTGCTCCAAAAGGTCTCTTCAGACCTGTCTGGGGCCCTGCATTCCTAAAATTTGGTGTTGGAAGAAAAGGACTGGTCAGAAACTAGGTAAGGGTCTTTGGTGGGTGGTGAGACTCACTTAGAAGCTAATTTGAGGTGTCAGGTAAAGTGTTGTCCTTTGGGGAGGGATTGATTTGGGTGAGATAGGTAGCACGTTTGTCCAAAGGCAGTGTAGGAAATGGGTGAACCCAAACTGCCTCATCTGTGTCTTAGGTTGTTCAGGCTGCTGTAACAACATACAGAAACCTTATAAACAATAGGAGTTTATTTCTTACACTTGTGGAGGCCAGGAAGTCCAATGAGTAGATTCTGTCTAGTGCAGGCCCCTTTCCTCTATCAGATAGTGTCTTCTTGCTGCATCTTTGTGTACTGGGAGGGAAGAACTCTAGTCTCTTCCACTCCTTGTAGGGGAACTATCCTCTTCTTGGGGGCACTCCATTTGTGACCTAATCACCCCGCAAACACCCCACCTCCTAACAGCATCTCATTTGGCCTCAATGTATAAATGAGGGGAGAGGGCCACAAACATTCAGTCCATGGCACTGTGTGACTTCCTGATGGCCAAAGTCGGGGTGAGAGAGAGACCTTCCCTCTCCTTCCTGGAAAGACACGGATCATGAGGGAAATCAGATCCTGGGTTCAAAGGGTGCTTGCTGAGCATTACTCCAACTCACATTTAATAGGTGGAAGACCTGAGGCCCCCAGGACAGGGCACCTGCTGGCCAAGGCTAGGCAGCAGCCAAGCCCATCTCCACTGTGAGGAGTGAAAACCGTGAGAGCACATGGCAATGTTGGTAATAGTAAGGTGACCTCTTCTGTGTATCCTTTCACCACTCACACCATGTATGAGCATGAGGAGGGAGAGGCACAGGCATGCTCTGACTGTCATCCAGTCAAGATGCCTGGCAGTGGTGCCTGGGCTGAGTCCAGGTGTGCAGCTCAAGCGGGAATGTTAGACCTCACACGGAGGGGCAGCCTTGATGAGGAAACAGTGCTTCATCTGGGAGCCCAGGACACTGTCTTCCCTGTAGCCCAAGTGCACTGGGTTAGTAGAGTAGGTTGCCAAGAGAATGAAGAAATAAATGCCTGGAGATGGCGTGAGAGACAAGGCATGTTAAAGTAATAGGGAAGTACAGGGTTAAGGGAGACTGACTAGCAGAAAAGGATAGAGTCCAGGGGCAGAGGGCTGGATAGTTTCCAGAAAGTACTAGGAATTGTGCCGTGGTGGTGAGCTGGACTAGTAATTACCAGAAGATCCAGTCATGACAAGCTGGACAAAATTTAAAAATGGTGTTTGAGGGACGTGATGTCAGATGTTCAAGTTTTTCTTGGGGATGATACAGAGACCAGCAACTATGAGGGGGATCCAGGAGGGGGATGATATGATTTCACAGGGAGGAAAAATGGATGAGTGCAAACTTCACAGAGGGGCTTGGTGTCACATCTCCCAGAACTCTCAGCCATCTTCCCCCGACCCCAGGTGTGCATCTAAATTTAGATGTATGTTCAGTCAGAATGAGGTCAGTTCTAGACAGCATTTTGAATTAAACCTTGTGCCCCTTAGTTTGCATTTCTAGTCTCATGGTATTGAACTGTTTTCACATATTTAACTTGGGCATTTTGTAATTACTTAACTGTCATGTTACATTCTTTGCCCACTTTTCTTTCCCTTTAAGAATTATATATTAAGATCTCCTGTTTACATCAAGGACTTTTACATAGTTCATTGAAGCTCTCCTTAGCCTATTGGGAGTTACAAATTTCTTATAGAACTTGATTCACATTCAGAAAAAATGTACTTTTCATTGTCGTACACCATCCAATTTCACACGCTTTTGGCCCATGTGCACCTACTATGGTTGAGCTCATAGGCTGTTTTAGAGTCTGCTGCTTGCACTTCAGGAGCATTCTGCAGGGAGAGGAGCCTGTGCCCAACCCCAGGGGCCCTATGAGCAGAAGGGGTAGCTCCCTGTGCACTTCCTGTTCCCAGACAGGGGCTAGGTGTTTCCAGCAGAGGGGCAGTGTGGGGAATGGGATGGTGTCAGTGAGCTCTGAGTCACCCGTGAGGCTGTTCTGCTGTCACAGAAGCCCCCAGTGTGGGCAGTGTCCTCACTAGGATGACAGAAGGTCTGACAGGGTGATTACATCATTATGAGTTTATGGTGGTGGGGCCAGGGTAGGGCAGGGGTACCTGGAACACAGTAACCTGCTCAGCTTCTACAGGGGCACACAGGTGCTCTTTGTAAAAGTAGGAGTATCCCGACAGCCTGGGGCCTCTGTATGCAGGAAAAGGACTGGTGCCACTCACAAAGTGGGAGTGAGCATAGCCCAGTGCTTGGCCATAAATTGAGGACAAGCCTCCTCTGAGCAATTGTGGAAACAGGCTGGAGAGGATGTGGAAAGGTGGGGGCACAGGGGCTGAGGGCTCCAGTGAGTCAGAAGATGGTGGTTCTCACATGCTAGTGTGGCTCAGAATCCCCTAGAGGCTCATTAAACATATTTCCTGAGTCTTGAGGGTCTGGCTCATCCTGAATCCCTACTTTCTACCGTCCCTTTCTGCCTCTGTGTAAGTAAGAAACCCACTTCCATAGCTTGCTATATTGTAGGGGGCAATGAATCTTAGCATATTATTTTAGATAAAATAGTTTTGGTAAAAGCCTACATGGTGCCTTGGGAGGCCTCCCGGGACAGTGTAAGAGCTAATTCCCCAGATCAACACTGCCCAGGAATGTCTCCCCAAGATAAGGGGGCGCCTAGGCCTAGGTGACCCTCCGTGACCCTGCCTGGGCAGTGCCATCTCCTGGCCCTAGGTAAACATTGTAACCACAAAGGAAACATATGGTTATCTAAAGGGGGACATATAAAACAGAGTACAGAAAGTATATATCACTGTGGTTGGGCTCATGACCGGAGCCTGACCCGGTCACATGGCACAAGGAAAACAACATATGGCCTGGGCTACAACATTCCTTTCTGTTACCATGGAAACCAAAAATGTGTATAACCTGGGAACAAAGACAGGTCCACGCCCACTTCCCGGACTTGCAAGTCGGGATGAGAGGTGACGGTCTAAATTAAAACTTTGTCTGTTCTCTTTGGTCTCTTGCAGAATACAGCCCGAATTTTTGCCGTAACAATATATATGTTGTCTCACCAGACTCAGGAAGTACAGCCATGCAGCACTAAAGGACAAGGACACATTCTGAGAAATGTGTTCTCTTAGGATTTGTTATGATGTGAACATGAGGGAGTGGATGTGCACAGACCTAGATGGCATGGCCTACTGCACACCTATGCTATATGGCAGATGGGGTGTGGCCTACTGCTCCTGGGGCTGTGATGAACAAAACTCTCAAGTTATGAAGTGCAAGAGAAAATGATGCCACTGAGAGTCACAAAAAACATGAGAAAACATCAGGGAATTGCCTTGGCACTGGTCTTGGCAGTGACTTTTTAGATGATACTAAAAGTACAGGCAATAAAAGCAAAAATGTGTAAGATTACAGTAAACCACAAATATTTTATACAGCAACAGAATGAAAAAGGAGATCCAAAGACTGGGGGAAAATATTTGCAATCCCTGTATATAATAAATGGCTAACATCTAAAAAGATAAGGAACCCTTGTAACTCAACAGCAGGAAAACAACCTAACTAAAAGTGGGCAAAGGAGACGTTTCTCTGAAGAAGATACACAAATATGGCCAAAAGATATATAAAAAAGTGCTCAGGAGTACTCATCAGGGAAATGCACTCAAACCCCCAGTAAGCCATCACCTCCCACACTGGTTAGGAAGTCTATTATTGAAAAGACTAAAGATAACAAGTGTTGAGGATGTGGTGATAAAAGAGCCTCTGTATACTGTTGGTGGGAATGTAAATTAGTAGAGCCATGTGGAAAATGTCAGAGAGCCCCTCAAAACATGAAACATAGAACTACCCATATAATCCAGCAGTCCCACCTCAGGTATAGAGCCAAACTGAACTGATGTGAAATCAGGATCGCAAAGAGATATATATCTGCACTCATGGTTGTTATGGTTTATGTCTGTGTGTCCCCTCCAAAGCCTCATGCGACCATGGGGCAGGCTATTAGAGTTGAATGATTGTGGGTGTGAGAGCTACACCCACCCTGGGGTAGACAGTTTGCATATGTAAGGGAGAGGAAAAGAGTGCTTGAGGCCATTCCTCCCCCATTTCGCCCTGGTGTGTGCTTGCTGTTTAGCTGTTG